TATTTATCTTCTTCAGTCTTGCTGTATGACATATTGGACGCTCGAGAGCGATCTCACCTTCCTGTCTATCACTGACGGGCAGAATACATTAATGAACAAGCTAATCTGTCTTCTCCAGAGACTTTTCATTACCAACCGCTCAGTCTGACACAACAGATATGGACCACTGAGATAAGCCCTCCCATTGGCCGCCTATTGAATTCCACTCACCCTTCCAATCTGTTACTGTTTTAAAGAAAATAATCTAACTATAAGGTATATGCATGATGTTCAACAAATATTCCTCTATGACACTATCCACCCCACAGAATCTGTCCCAATGTAGTGTGGGTGTAGCGTATACATGTGTAGCCCACTGCCGTGTCAGTCAAGTCAAAGTCCCACCACACAAAACATTAAAACACAAAACATTTATAAATGGATTGCTTGCAGGAATATGAATCAATGAACAATAAGTAATTATTTCTATGGTTAGTGTATAATGCATTTTTGTGGTTACACAGAATTTGTGGATGGTGTTATAGTGGTTCAGGCCAAGTATAGATCTTAAACATTTGATGCTTGCTAGTGACTGCTGATGTACCTTTCCAGTAACAGGCTTCAAACAATAAGAGAACTTCCAGTGATATTCATATTAGATCTGTATAGTATATTTATATAAGAATACTATTAATTTAGGCAACTTTGTGTGTTAAAACTCAAAGCAGGTTGAAGAAGTATTCAGATCATTTACTTACAAGTTACAGAAACAAAACCATTTTATGATTTAAAAACTCCCAATTACAAGAAAAAGATTTTGCTGTTAAGAAGTATTAGCAGCAAAATGCACTTGGGGCCAGCAGAAACAAGCTGTCAATGTATTTACTCACTCTCTACCACTGTTCATGACTGTGTTCACTTGGTAATTATTTGATTTTTACTTTACTACCTACAATTTCTGATGTGTTCAGGGACTGTATCTTTCAACAGATAAATTGCTATGAATATAATAGGACTATATCGGCACACACACTCACACATGCATGCACAAAAAAAATCTCAGTTATATCCATAGATTATCATCACAACATAAAAACATCTTGCGTGAACCAACGAGATGGGTTGGTCCCCCTGCAGGCAGTGGATGGTGTGTAATCGATATCGTCACATGAGGCTGAGACTCACTGATACAGGAGCCAAGCACTCCAGGTAATGAACTGCCTGCTTGATATATATCCCTCACAGGGCGAGATTGCGGTGGTGCAACATGGTACTGCAACAGCAGCAATTCTTTGATTAGCTATTTCCCTTCCATCAAGCTTCCCTGGCACACAGAAAAGTATCTCACACTCATACACTTACTGTCTGTCGATGTGTCAACATGTCCACTTTCAAGCTGTCATGTGGCTCCTGCAGGAGGCTCACACAGCTCATACCACCTCTCACACTGCAGAGACAGGCAAGAGCCAAAGAGCCAGTCCAGAATACAGTATCATTTCATATGTACAGTTATGCATCTTGTTTCATGATGATCCTCTGTGAAGATTTATTCTGGGATGTTGTCGTTTTGTGGTTCTATTCAGAATTTTGTATGGGTGAATACACAAACATAAATTTAAAACTGGATGGGGGGGGGGGGGGGGGGGGGGGGGGGTCTCTCTGCTCATAACACCAATGCAGATTTGCAGACCCAAGAATGGTGAGAAACCACACTGACAATGACTCTTAAACTGTCTTAATGATCAATGAATAACCAATAAATGCAGTTTACAAATATATTTACTTAACTCTGTTCAACTTCACTGAAAAATACTAGTACACTTCAGGCTGCCTGATATATTTGGATGCTTTTTTTGAGCTCTTTCCTAATTTTACTGAGTCCCCTGAAAATACAGGCAGGCTTCCCACTGGAGTGAACTGATGATCAATATGATTTAGATTGACTTAAACTGCCATTCATTGAACCACAAGCATTGTTAGAAAAAGATGTGACCACAAAATGGCTTATATATTTTTGTATTAAAGGCATTAAACTGCTAAGGCAGTGAATTGTAGGGTGATGAGGCTGTTATACTTTTGTGTCTGGGCTTTTACTTAATGGCACTTTAAAGCTTTAAAATGTTGCACCTTCTTGATAAAATGGAAAGTCTGTGCTTCATGACTCAGAAAGGCCAGAGAGATTTTTTTTTTACCCAGGGTGTTGTCACTGGAATTAATAAAAGTGAGGTACTAACATCTCACTTGATTCTCTCAAATAGTTTGTGTCTACTTACCATAAAATGTAATGTGTGTGAATATATACAACCATTTCAGAGGGAGGGGAGCAGAGTGGGATTGGGCAATTCAAACATAGAAATCAGCTCGCAGCATCACACTTGTCATCAAACAGCGTACACTTTTCACCTTTATTTATCCTGGGATGTGAAATATTTTTCCATCTATCCAGTGGGTTATTAGGGATGGGATCATTAGTGATGAGATTCTTGGCTTTCATCCAAAGTCCAAACAACCTTCCAACCTTCCTCCAATCAGATATTATACTGTCGATATTGAGCATTTCACAGAATGTGTCCCTGTAAATTGTCATCACTGTGTAATATGATGAAGTAGGCGGCCATTTACGAAATGAACTGGCACATTTCTGAGCAGTCATGTCTCACCACTTATGATTCTAATTCATATTCAAAATATACAAGATATTCAAAATATATCAAGGCGGCTGCTAGAATCAAACTTGAAATCTCAAGTTGATTGAATATATCAAAAAACATTTGAGCTGACAGTGTATTTCAAGTTTTTTTACATTTGTCACTGTTTTGTAGTAATGAAAAGAGATTGTGACTTGAAAAATATTATTGACATAAAACACATAGATGTAAGGTATCACTTAAGAAATGTTGACATTTTATTCCAGTATCTCCAAGTAAATACAAATTATCCCCAGTTGCTCATGTGAAAACGGACAGGGCGCAGTTACACTGTGCAGTGCACTGTCACCCTGCTCTGATTTGATAATGAAAAGCGAAAATATTCAATATCAAATGGTCATTCTGCATCAGCAATTTACATTCAGTGGCAACATCCAGTGCCAATACAGGAAGCAATATGGTTTGATATAGTGGAGTGAGACGTGTGTCAGGGTTGTGGCACATTATAGCCTTTTGCCTCGGTGTTGACATATTTATTATTTAACCACAATCAGAATGTTTTTGACAGGGCTAAGAAAACAAAAAAGTAAAACACTGTGATGACATCAGATTTCCACCTAAACATATTTGCTAATGCAAAATAATAATAATAATAATAATAATAATAATAATAATAATAATAATAATAATAAGAAGAAGAAGAAGAAGAAGAAGAAGAAGAAGAACTTTATTTTGTATTAGAGCATGTTTTTCTAGTTTTTAATCAGCTCACGGTTTTATCCATTTCTCTGCAGCATGAAAATCAACAACTTGAAATTTGCTTACACAATGGTGGGTATTTCATCATAGTGACTATTAAGTCTGCTTTTATTTTTCTCAGTCATATTTGTCACTGTGATGCAATTCAGTTCTTAGTTTAGACATACTGGTAAAGTCTGCTCTGGATAATCATTCAACAATAATATAACATAAAAGCAAAATAAAAGCATATGTGATTTTCACTGTGATGGAGCCTCTGGGGTTTGTGAGATGAATCTAATGGGTCACATGATGAGTACCAGTGTAGTAAATAAGAAAACCTGAAATCTACTTCACAAAATTGTGTTTATTCATCAGTATCAATACATCAATGACCAGCTCATAGATGTGCGATCTCTGACAGGGTGTCACAAGCACAATCGTGTGCTCTAGAAAATGATCTGCAGTAACGTAAATTATATTATGTGTCATTTGTAAAATAGAGACCAAAGCACAAACACTGCAAAAAAGAATGGTGTGCATTTGATTTTAAAACGTCTAAGTTGGTTTTCTTTATGACAACATCTGTTTCCCCATATAAACAGTATATCTGACACGCATAGGCTAGATTTTGGAAACAAATGAACTGTGAGTCCATTGTCCTGTCCCCTGGTACCTGATAAAGTATGCGAAGGTTAAACCTAATCAGCCCCTATTGATCTACTTTCAATGATCTAGAATAGAAGTCTTTGGAGTTCAAATTGATAACCCCAGGAGAGTCCTTGGGAATGTTCCTCATGCCTGATACAGTTCCTTTACCGGTTATTATAATGAGGCTTTAAGCAGTGTGGTGACTGTAAATCTGCTACGCTAAGATTGCACTGCTCCTAGTCTGAATGAACCTCACCTCACTAAATCTCACATCCAGGACCAGAGAAGAATTTATTATCCTCCCCTGAGCACACTTGCCAAAGCAGTGTGAAGTCAGCATATGACCGCATGTCACCAAGATGTGTCAAGTAATGTTTGTTGGTGGTGCAGGGAATTATGCACATCTGTACTCAGATGTCCGGGCTGTCTTACTGAGGATGCTGAAGCCTTCTGCTGACATATGACTCTTTTGTACTTCAGCACAATGGCATGAAATCAGAAGATCTTACATTATATACATTTGTGAGAAACTTCTTTCTAGTTTATGTCATTTTAAAATAATTATTTCTGAGTCAGTTCCAGTTTCAGCTGCTGTCTAAACCATTTTGAGGATGCTGAATCCGTACATATCCATGTTTACACATTCATTTATCAGGGTGTGGGGGCAACACAGGTCAGAAAAAAATAGGGGTCATAAAACAGCACTGGCATCACCACCTAATAACCACTAATAGTAGGCTATTACTTACCTGAGGCTGAGACTGAGACACTGAGACTTGTTCTCAATTAAGCCTTTACTCTTTACTAAAAACCTACTCAAATAAAAATTTCCCTTTCCACCTGAAAACCGCGGTGAAGAGCATCTTCAGTGCCACAGCATCTGAAAACCAGCCTGTACAACAGCTGCTGAGCTGGTGTAAACTTGCAGTAGCTGATCACAGACTGGGTACAGGACCTGCGGGGCTTGCAGGGGACGGAGAGAGCAGCGCGCCAGGGCTGGCCACTGAGCGTTGGCGGAGCGTGAAGACCCGTTTGCCTAAAGGTGGCTCGTTGAATCTAACGGGGCGGATTGCTGTGGAGTAACCCTGTGATGGGGCAACAGATCTCGCTGTTCGGTTAATGTTGCCTCTCTCAGTCACCAGCGCAGTGCCGGAAAAGTGTCCAGACTTTGAGCGCGCAGAGTCCGGTATGTCCGAGGGGAAGAGCGCTGAACGCTGCAGTTTTGAGGCTTTATCTCTGACAACTCCTGCGGACCAGATGGTGCCGAAAAAATGACTCGGGCTCTCTCCATCCTCGCTTACCTTTTCTCTCTGGTTCACTGTGAGTGTGTCTTTCTTTTCATGTGGGACTTTACTTTCTAATGTAGGCTGTAGCATGTGCCCCTGTCTTTGTGTCTGCTCCAAATTTATTAGGGTGAAAGTGTTTTTGTGCTGAAAAGTGGTTTGTGTTTTTTTTCTTTTCTTTAGGGTCCCCCAAGTCGATTTTCAGTGCAGCTTTTGCCAGTGCAGTGACTCGACTGCTTAGATTTAACGACAAAAAAAAAAATAAAAAAAGCAGATAGCACACCCCAAATTTATTACTAATTTTTTTGTAGTAGTAGTGTAGAAGTACGTTTTAATCTAAATAAAAAATATAAGTATAATACAAATTTAATATAAATAAAAAAAACATATGCATGGATGGAAATCCTCATAGGAATAAGAAAAAAAAGTACTTCTTGCAAGTTCAGCTGAGATGTGATACTTCTGTATGTCAACACAAGGCAATTTGATGAGTCGGCCTGGATATCAAATGTGGCCTAGAGTACCCAAATCAGCAATCAGCTCTCTGGGGGTGGGGTGGGATGGGGGTGGGAGGTTGAGATATTTAGTGTGAGGTTACAACCAAAAAGGTTTAAGCAACAAATGCAATTGATGAAAATTCTTCCTTAACTTATATAATTACTTAAACAGTTTCAGGAAACTTTTATGCTTAAAATCATTTTATTAATGTGTTCAACACCACTATGTCACATGTCCTAAGTGGGTTTACTTTGGTGAGATCATAACCTAGATTGTGTAGCTCTTCCAACAAGATAAGCCTAATTTATGAAATGAAAAAAAACACCCTGTGTAAATAGTTTGCCAGTACTTTGTGACCTTATTAATCTTCACAAAGTATGTGCACAAACATATGTAGTTACATATAGTTCTTCTTCTTTTAACTTCTTCAGATAAAGAAGACGAACAAGAACACAAAAATATAAATATTCTCATCTTATTAATAGTGATTATCATATTACTGAGAAGTGGAATGCAAAGGGGAAGAAGAGAAGAAAATATAGCGCTTACACCATGTAACACCTCACTCAACCTTTGCCCGATGTTTTGGTTCATTCACATTCTTCGGTCACATATTACATTTTTGTAGAATGATGTTTTTCAGTGCGCTGTGCAGAGTGACCTTATCAACTCCACTAGAGTTCATTCTAGCATTGGATTAACACGCCTGACCTCACTCTCAATCAACGTAATGTCAACGCTACACTTATGAGTTCATTTTTCACATTAAACCCACAAACACACACACACACATATACACACACACACACACACACACACACACATACACAGCAGGTGATTGCAAGTTTGGTTGTTTTGCAAGTGGCCTTCACCTCAGGGGAAAGCAGGGCTTGTTTGACTCTGGTCCCCGAGGGCTTTGACAACACACCATCTGCTGCCGAGTGTTTGTGGAGGTCTGACTGTGTTGGTTGGGACCTCAGCCAATTGACTGACAAAGGCACAGTCATGGCAGCTTGTACTGACCAGCGGGGCTAGATTGTCGGTCCGCCACGCCCTGCAAAGCTCCAGGGGTCTGTGGGCCGATAATGACACAGGCAGTTTGACACTGGGCAAAGGAAAAGTGTTGGAGCTGGAGGTCTAATATGAATCTTAGATTTAATACACCACATCACCACATAGCTTAAAAAAAAACAAAACACGAGTGATCGATCCCTTTTACAGCCATGCATATCTTTCTTCTGCATATTGACAACAGTATAGCGATTCCTCTTCAATGGGCCCATCAGTAAGTGTCTCACCTCATTGCAGTGTTTCCCGTGAGTAAGTCGACTCAGCTCCTCCGGACCATGTGCGGGCATTAATAACCCAGCTGCATGTACAGAAAATGGAAGAGGTAGTGCTACATTTTCTCATTCTGCTCCAGATGAGAAGAGCCAATCATCAGTTTCAATCAGGCTTGTCTTCACCCCTTTGACATGGGCATCCTTTATCAGGGACGAGGGAAGGAGGTGGAGTGTACGTATTGGTATTCATGGCTTAGTCTCATTTAAAGACACATCCAGTGATTTGGCTTTAGGCAAAAGCAGAATTATTAACATGCTGTGAAAATGCCTGCCCTCATCCCAAATGTAATTACTTATTTGGAAATTACTTTAGGGCCTTCCTAACATTTTAATATCATTTCCACAACACAGCCATCCCTGGCTTTCTTAATTGACGGCTGCTGTTTCCCTTAAGACTTCGGGAAGTCATACATGCAGTTTGTGTGATGCAGCTGGATGAACAGACAGAGGAAGAAGTTGCCGTTCAGGACAATAAACAAAACCAATGAACAGATAATGGATAGACAAGAAGCTTCCAGCTTTCATGTAATAGACTGTGAGTTCATATGTTGTCCTGGACTAACAGTTAATGTTGGCTTTATAAAAAATGTAACCATAATTCTTAAACCTTAAAAGAGACAAATTCTAATCTTGAAAAAGAAACAAACAACCAATTACTTGAATTGCTGCTACGCACATCTTCCTAGAGCCATCATCAAAGTCCATCAGCTATCACAAACTCATAGCATCCCTGTCTGAGCTTTCCTGTGTCCCTCCATTTGAGCACCAAGTTTTTGGCTTGATACTGTAATTTTGTGTGTGTGCGTGTGTGTGTGTGTGTGTGTGTATGTGTGTGTGTGTGTGTGTGAGTGAGTGTGTGTGTGTGTGTGTGTGTGTGTGTGTGTGTGTGTGTGTGTGTGTGTGTGTGTGTGTGTGTGTGATTGTGTGTGATTGTGTGTGTGTGTGTTTGTGTACCTGTGGATAAAATTGTGTCACCAGGTAGCAGCAGTGCTGACTCAGAGGAGCGGCTCATGAACTGGTTGCTGGGAAAGGATCGCTACAATCCGCTCATCCGGCCGGCTGTCAACAGGACCGAGAGAGTCACAGTGAAGCTGCAAGTGTCTCTGGCACAGCTCATCAGCGTGGTAAGGCCCGACCATTCCCATCCTCCCCACCAGGAGGAAGTGCGTTGCATTTATTTATGTGTGTCAGGGTGGGACTATGTGCTGGAGCGACAAAGAGGGAGACAGAAAAAGAAGGAAAGTGGATGATAGAAAAGACAGGAAGAGCCACAACACTTTGAGAAAGCAGTTAATTACAAACCAGCCTGTGTTGAGAGGCTGTAGCTCTAAAGGGATGGATGAAGTCGAGGATAGATCTGGTCAGCTGTGATCTCTGCCTCTGTCGTGTCCAGATTGAAACTTCAGCACATTGCATTAAAAGGGGCCATAAAGCTGTTTTACCCTCAGTGATAGAGGCTCTCCTCAGATTTACAGCAGAGGCTCCCAGCTGCAGTCCAAGGCAGCATGGCACATTCACACTTTCAGCTTATGAGTTTCCACTGTACCCCTTGGGGTAATTGGCATTTTGGTAACACACTTGGATATGTATGTCATGGCAGTGTGATTACAATGCTATCAATAAACATATAAACAAGGAATATGAGAGGAGAGGAGGGTCTCACTAGTTATTTATTTACTTTTGCTAGTACAGTGAGAGGTAGATAGCAAGGTCAGGGAGAGAGAGAGGGGATGACATGCAGCAAAGGGCCGTGGATCGGTCTCAGATCCATGGCCGCTGCGGTAAGGACTAAGTTCGTGTGGTGCGCGCTCTACCAGGTGAGCCGCCGAGGCGCCTCGGGTCTTACTAGTTGTTTGACCAGATGCTAGACAGTAAACATGACAGTAAGGAGGAAGATTCTTTCATCTGAGGTTTACTCTTGCAACAACTGTCCTTAAAACCTTGATAAGTTATGTTTAGCAATGAAAGTAGCAGGACACTAAAAGTAGGTATTTAGATGCTGACACTTTCTGCAGGAGATGCTAATTCATTCTGTGTGCCAAAACCTCTTTTTTTAGAGCCCACTTGTAAAACCACCCACTTGTTCCTGTGCAGCTTCATTGACTTTGCTCATAGTGGAAGCAGCTGCATTATCTGCAGAGTATCTGGCATTATATTAAGGTTGTTTTGACATATTTAATGAAAATGTTCCTCTGTTCACGGTGACTAGTCATGTCTTATCAGCAGTGGTTCCTCTTTTTTGTCTGACATCAGGTAGCCAACACCGTTTGTCTGTCATGTTCCAGATTTCTTCTGACGATGGACTTTAAACTGAATGTACTGTAGATTAATAAAATTGATTAGGCTGTATGAAAGTGAATATTTGTATAATAATATTTCATACAATAAGTTTAGCCTACAACATTTCAACTTGACTTTTATCTAACTTTTTCAGCCCTTTAGCCAATTAGATGATTCGCTCCTTTGTCAACGAGTTTAGCTGTTTCAACCACTTCCCATAATTTTAGCTAAATATTTCAACTCAATTAATTTTAGCTAATAATATCAACTGTTGATCAGTTACATAGCTATTTCAACCACTTATCAATTACTTTTAGCTTTGATTTCTCTGCTTGCTCGCTAAATGGTTTTCATGCACTCTCAATTATAAAGGTGTTAAGGTAAAGATCTGCATAATACCAATTTGAAATATTATTTGGCTATTTATTTTACACCTTCACATAAATTTGTGGCTATATTTTTTAAACCAGTCATAATTCAAATTATTTCAAACAAGCTACTCCATAATTTTTCCACGGCCCTCTGGTTGGGAATCACTGCCAGAGGATGTCTTGACCAATGGTGTTCAGGAGGTATAATATTGAAAACAAAATGTCAAAACCATGTTGTTATTCTTTCTGATAGTATTGGATTGTATTTTTGGCTGAAATATTTAAAAATAATTTCCATCCCGCTTGTACATTTCCAGAATGAAAGAGAACAGATCATGACCACAAATGTCTGGCTCACTCAGGTAAGTGTGATGAAACTCAAGAGTCATACACTCCCAATAACCTGTTATCATGTTAAATGTCCTTCCCCTTGAACTTGAATTAAGCCATATCAATTCTTCCTCCCTCAATGTGGAACAAACTGCTTCTGTAATTGTGCGCCAAACATATTTCATTGATAATGAAGCATGTAATTAGAAATTGGCTGCTCTTGAGAAAGTGTGTGGAAGACTTCAGACTTCACGGCCTGTTCTCACTGTCTCTCCAGCACTGGGTGGATTACAGGTTATCATGGGACCCTGCAAAGTATGAAGGCATCGACAAGCTGCGTATCCCATCCAGACACATCTGGCTCCCAGATATTGTTCTGTACAACAAGTAAGCATCACAGGGATGTCAGAGTGTTATGTTTAAGAGACACTTTCTTTTTTTATGTACAATTTTTGTATTAAAAATGATAGGAGAAGAGCTCTCATACAGAGATTTTGTCTGTGCTTTCTCTCATTTCAGCCTATATTTCTTGACAGAATCATGAACTCTCTTATAGCATAGATACCTACAAATTAAGACCTAAACTTAGCAAATGAAAGTAATGCAGTATAAAAGTGATATGATTACCAGTCCCTCCATCCTCACCCTCCTGGCTTCTCCTGTTCGCTATTAATGACCGACTCTCTGAAGCCTTTCCAGAGTTTATATACAACAAAGGCAGATTGGGGATTTTAATTGGCTTTTTAAATTGATTGCACTCGCCTTTAGGAAATAACCAAAAGGATTTTCCGATTTCGATTTTCGTTAACTGCACTATGATTGCAGTGTTGATAACACAAACCTCAAAGGTTGACTCACAGGCTCTCTAAAGTTTACTCTCTCTTTCTTCCTTTCCTAATAGCGCTGATGGCACCTATGAGGTAACAGTCTTCACCAATGCCATTGTCCTTTCCAATGGCAGCATCAACTGGCTTCCTCCAGCCATCTACAAAAGCGCCTGCAAGATCGAGGTCAAGCATTTCCCCTTCGACCAGCAGAACTGCACACTCAAGTTCCGCTCCTGGACGTATGACCACACCGAGATCGACCTGATCTTGAAGTCTGAGGTGGCTAGTATGGATGATTTCACACCCAGTGGGGAGTGGGATATCTTGGCGCTGCCAGGCAGACGGACTGTCAGCCCTCTGGATCCCACCTATGTGGACCTCACGTATGACTTTATTATCAAGAGGAAGCCCCTTTTCTATACCATAAACCTAATTATTCCCTGTGTTTTGATCACCTCTCTGGCCATCCTGGTCTTCTACTTGCCTTCAGACTGCGGAGAGAAGATGACCCTCTGCATCTCCGTCCTCTTGGCTCTGACTGTGTTCCTACTTTTAATCTCCAAGATTGTTCCTCCAACCTCACTGGATGTGCCTCTGATCGGCAAGTACCTGATGTTCACCATGGTACTGGTGACCTTCTCCATCATCACCAGTGTGTGCGTGCTCAACGTGCACCACCGCTCTCCCAGCACCCACACCATGCCGTCCTGGGTCAAGCTAATATTTCTTGTGAAACTGCCTGCCTTGCTCTTCATGAGACGCCCTAACAATAACTCCTCCCGTCAGCGGCTCCGCCAACAGCGGTGCCTACGGGCGAGGAGAGCCATTCTGGGTTTGGGTTACCCAGGGGCACCCAAGGCAGGAATCACAATGTCGTCTTCTGCCCTGCTATCCTCCGACTCCGCCTTCTCCACCCCAGGACACAAAAATGTAGCTCCGTCAATGGGCTACAGCCACTCCAACAGGAAGGAGGACCTGCGCGCCACGGATTACCTTCCCACTGGTTTCACCTCCACCCAGGACCTCCAGCAGAGAAGCAATTCAGATTGGGTTGCTGATGTCCAGGAGGCAGTGAATGGGGTGCGCTTTGTGGCTGAGCACATGATGGGAGATGATGATGATCAGAGTGTACGTATATGCATTTAAACCAAAGGTTTTATTGAATATATGCAAAAGAATAGAAGGAGCATATAATAAATAGGCCTCGGTATATAATTTATAAAGGTTATAAAATTTTAATAGATGAAAAAAATGAACAAAAGTTACTATGCTCCTTGTACATATATATATATATATATATATATATATATATAGATAGATATATAAGTCTGTCTGTCTGTGTGCTATCTTAAGCTCAGGATTTAGGGCACTAAATCATTGGGTAAGTTTAGAGTTGGCTCCTCTGTTGGCCCCATCCTCTTCCATCCATCCTAATCCCAATAAACTGGACCAAAGGTGTTTGTATTGATGTGATAACATTACGTGATAACGGTCAGTCTGTGACCCCTGAGGTGCAGGATAGAATACCACTAACCTTAAGTAGTGGCTGTGACCCAGCAAATTGAAGTCAGACTTTGGGTAATCAATTGCTTTCTCTAACAAATCAATAAAATGGGGAGGGAACCAGAAATGAGAAATAGCTCGTTTCAAAAACTACCAAGGACAGCGCTGAAAATGGGGTGAAAGGGTCAATAGTTATTTCAGTGTAGGTCTCAGCAATATAGAGATGGGTCCTTACAGGGATTTAACTTAACTATGTTCCCATTCAAATATTAAGCTACTCAGTCAGCATCCTAAGAATAAACCTTCCTATTCTAAGCAGTGTTATTGGCAAGAATATGAATGAACACACAAAAAAGTGTATTATAGAATGCAGTACGTCGTAATTCAATTCAACTGCTGGCCAACACAATAGACTACAAGACATGTTTATATAATGTAAGATGTTACACACATACAGTATTCACCCATTCATTTACTCAGTTACACTCTCTGCCCCCGAGTGGCTGCACAGAGGCATGGCAGCGTCCACAGAAAACACACTGAACAGAAATTCTTCAGTCATCCTAAACTGCTGTGTTGTGACACATCTGTGAAACATGTTTATTGACTCATGTTCATTGACTCAATTCTGTATATTTGCAGGTGATAGAGGACTGGAAGTATGTGGCCATGGTGGTGGATCGTATGTTCCTGTGGATCTTCGTGATAGTGTGTGTTGTGGGCACCCTGGGCCTGTTTCTCCAGCCTCTCTTCCAGAGTCAGATTATTCCCAACCAGCAGCCAAGCTCAGAGACTCCTCGCATCTGATGAACAGCGAGAGAGACTGAACAACTTTAGGGTCTTCATAAGTAATTGAACTGTTAGGATGAACATAGTTACAAGGGGGATGTAGGCCAATAGTTTTTTTTTTTTAGTTTTGAAGTCTTCTTAGCATTTGCTTGTAGTGTATCATCAGGGACCAGGAGCCCTCTGTGTCAAATCCTACCACCGGGCAAAAAAGGAATACTCTTATAAAAATATACACTTATTTTGTACATCAGTGGAACAGACAGGATGTTTGTGTGACATAAAAATTGATAAAAATGTCTCCTAATAATCAAAACCACATGATCTAAAGCAATACAACCTTCCACAGCTCCATGTTTTGAGGAAATGGTGCATCTGCCAGGGACCTATTACAGAATCAATGCACTGAGGTTGTCCCCTTCCCTTCATATCTACAAAGGACAGCTCCAGAAGTGGACTGAATGCAGCCTCTGCTGCACTCAAGAATGCGAACATAATATGTGTTGAGCCATTACAGGAATATAACCAGTATGACAGAGACATGACAGCTGTCAGATGTTTTATCCTTATTTGTGTTGAGTTATCTTACCATATCATTGAAATGTGATGTGTGATTAAGGAATGAAAAGTAAAGATAAATCAGTGTCCTCTTTCAGTTTGATTAAATGTATGAAATCCCCAATAAAGTCTTAAAATTGTCAGGGTCTTGCCAAAGTGCTTGGTTAATCTGTGTTACCGGTGATAAAGTTTGTCCTCAGAGCCAACACGTTCGCTGAAGATGTGCCAATTTGAACATTTCATCACACAGAAAAGACAGCTGTTCACTTTAGATGTGAGAACGTGTGACCAGGCAAAAAAAAATATGTTGATACAACAAAACCGTTGGATTGAGATGGAGCTGATCTTGATTATGATGTCTTGAGCCCCAGTGCTTTTTGTCATAGTGATAGCCCTGACATGTCTTTAAATGAGACACTAAAGAAAGAGAGAACAAAATGTGTTTGTTTCAGACACTGCAATCTTATGGGGACTCATTTGTGCCTTTACACCACAGTTGATTTCTGTTAAGTGCTCATTTGTTCAGACGGGCGAGTGCAAGCACACACAACATTTACTGCTCAATAAACAGTGCTGAGTGGGCTCCTTAGAGATTCTGCAGACTGCTGGCTCTTTTGTGAGACGTTCATTTAAATCAAGAATTGCAATCAGTATCTATGTTAATGCCTTACTTTAATCTCTATTTATGGTTTTCAAGATCATTCATTGCTTTTTCACTCACCTGTCAACCTCCTGTCACTAGCGAAGAGAGACAGCGCAGTGCCACAGCTTATCCATCAATAATCCATCATCTTCTTCAATCCTAGCAACGCTGGGGGAGTCTTCATTCAACACTCTGTGGAAGGTCCTATAAATCACAAGCCTTATGTCATGAGACTAATAAGAGTTGCAAGGAAACATTGTTCTGACACTTGCCCTGCCTCATAAGCAAGCATTAATATTAAGGATTTACCATAATGCAGTCCTTGGAAATGAGAAAAATGACATATTTCACTCCATGTCTTTGTAAATCTTCAGAATAACCTCTGCAGCATGATAGGTTTGGAAGCTGTTTGTCACCAAAGACAGTTTTGTTCAATGACCCGAGCCTCAGCTGGAGTCCTCTATGCGTAGGTGTACAAACAACCTAAGTTCTCATTCTGCCCTGTCTATGAGTAAGAAAACTTTCTGAAGGTCAAATCAACATTTATTTCTATCTTTACGTGATATAATCCTTTACTGATCCCCCATGGGATAATTCTTTTTTTGCTTGCCCCATTTAAAGGAGTTAAAAGTGCCTGCTCAGACGCCAGACGGCATCCCTGGTGCTTGTGGGGATTTATTTGTCATCTGAGGGCACTTCAGTAGAGGGGAGAGGTCAGCTGAAAAGCACTTGGGCATCCCTTTCATCCAACAGAAGGACAAAGTGTCAAACCACAACACAACCCTGCTGGCCAAAAGAAAGAATAATACTACTTTACAATAACGATAAGGACAGAACAAGGGAATGCCAGAGCCAAAGACAGAACTATATCCCTATTAGAAGTGGGCTGAAGTGACGCATTTTTGAAAAAAAAAAGAGGATATTCTGTCACACAATAAAGAAAGATGAAAATCTGTTATGTTGGCCTCCAAAGCTCCAACTCAGTGGTACACAGAGGCTATTGATCTTGTTTGAAGGCTATTTGATGATTTAATATGGAAGCCAACACTGTGAGAGGAAAATATGTTTGAGCACCACCTGGGTCCACGTGGACTGTCCTTGGAAAATGTTGAAAACCTGACTTTAAAGTATTTTTTTTTAAATTTCATTACAACCTACACAAAATAAACAACAATAAAAATTAAAATCATCTTTAAATATTATTTGTTAAGAGTTTCACAATCTCGGCTAATCTGCTTCATCAGGGTTATGTGGGTGTAGTTTGATCACATTTGACAGTGACCAAACAAACCAGTTCTGATCACATTCTCCTTCTGATATGTTGCTAAATCCTGATTGGTGCACAGAAATTACTTTACCTTTTTCTCAAAGGAGCTCAGAGCTACAGAGAGAAAAAAAAGCCTACAAATGTGAGGTAAGGAAAGAGGTAGTTAGAAGTTGATTGAGAAAATACATTTTTAGATTCTAAGACATTTTCTTTGTTATCAAATTTAATTTGCTATAAAACTGCAAAACAATGAGAGACCTCGAAACGCCCTACTTGATGTTGAAAAAAGTCATGTTGTGATCTTTAAGTGAAACTGACCAGTTCAGTTTCTTTTTCTTGTTGTATTAAACTGGGTAGCTGTGGTGCAATGGTGTACCCCCCTGTAAGTGGCTGGCTGTGTGGCTCTCTCTTTCTCTCTCTCTCTCTCTCTCTCTCTCTCTCTGGTTCTCTCGGTGCCTGCGGACGCGCTTCCCACTTTCTCCTGCTGTCTGCTGCGAGGAGCGCGGATTCATTGGGCATTTGTCAATTGACAAAAGGATGAAAGCCAGTTTTTGCCTCGGTTTGGCCACATGTTCCTTCCTCCTGTTTCTTCTGTCAGGTGGGTAACAAGATGCTATTTTAACATGACATCTCACTTACTTGTTGCTTTACATAAACGTGTTTAATGATATTGAAGTAGGCTAATTAAAATAAGATTGTTTTATTTATTTAGGCTACCTGTACACAATAAGCTAATGAAATGGCATTTTAAATTAATTCCATGAATAACATTCAAATCCCAAATTTTAATTAACTTTAACATTCTTGGACATCAGGATAATAAGTAATGTCTTTATGTACCTGTGGTTGTTCATTTGAAGGGAGGAATGTATTTTCCTTCAACATAAATCAAGCTATCACAGCATGTTGAATTAAAGGTAGCACTATCACATTATTAAAAATAGATAAATTGATAAAAAACAGTTGTTCTCAGTCTCTTACTGAGGTAGGTAAAATCTGACACTGCCTCTCTGGATTTCTGAGAACTAACAAACATGATCATCTGGCAGTTTTCCTGAAGACAAGCACTCTGCAGTAACGCACATATGTGTGACCTTCTGCTCTGATCCAGGAGGCACATGTTCAGATGCAGAGCACAGGCTCTTCTCTGTGATATTCTCCAACTACAACCAGTACATACGACCGGTGGAAAATGTGTCCGACCCAGTCATTGTTCAGTTCGAGGTGTCCATGTCACAGTTGGTCAAAGTGGTAAGTAGCCTACAAAGGGATTTTTCACAGTTTCTGATGGCCAGAGTGGGCTACCTTTGATTTATGGGTGGCTGCTTCCTTACAGTCAAGCATACATCATTCTGTCTAATGAGAAGTCATGACCGGAAAGAAAAAACAAGGTTTTGTTCAGTGTGGAGGGTCTGAGTATAATGTACTGATTCATTGCTATCAAACCTCACAAGAAATAGGTTGTGCATGGATTTGTAGACTTTGGACAACAAAGTTTTAGTGAATGGGATTATAGGGATGCCATGTGAGACACCTGAGATACTTCCAGTTGGTGGACAGTAGCCCCTGGTAATACTGAGGGAAAGAGGGACAGTGTGGCTGTTTGTCTGGCCAAGACAAGATGGGAAATGTCAGCTGTCTGAGCACCTCTCAGTGTAGGCAGCCTCTATCACTCAATCACTGCCACTTCAGATGAGCACCCCTGGATTTAATGGCGGGTTTTGCTGGAGCTTGTGGACTGCAGCCCGACATGGCAAGCAGGCAGCTCTCTCACTTGACTCAGACAGGTCTAGAGCGGATGTTGATAATTAAGCAGAAAGGCTCGCATTTGACAAGGACGACAGCTTCATTCAGAAAATGAAAAGCTTTGAATGTACTGGCAGTCCCTCTGCTTGTGTTGAAGGACAAGCACATCATTGGCTTCATTACAGACATTTTACCAAAGTCATCAGGTTATGTTATCAACAAGATCTAACTGTATTAAACCTGTCAAATTGATTTACATTACGTTTGTTCGAAATGGTGAGATGGATACTGTTTGTATGGTAAATATGAAGCTACTACAAGGAGACTTGTTAGCTTAGCTTAGAAGAACATAGCTAGCATAGCTCTGTACAAAGGTATAGAACAAAATGTGGCTATCCCCTGTACATAACCATGCATAAAACTGCAAACTGATGTTTTTACACTTCAATTTTGTATGAATAAGATAAATGATATATAATGTGTAATGAGCTTTAGAGTTGCTGGTAGGTGAATTTTGTTACCTTTGTACAGAGGCACATTAATTGTCTCCCCCTGCCTTTAATCTTTATGCTAAGCTAACCAACAGTCTCCCTGCTATACCTTCATATTGAGATTGGTATAGATCATCTCATCTAACTCTTGGCCAGAAAGCAAAATGTCAAACAATACTTTTTTTTTTTTTCGCATTACCGCACTATTCTATAAAAACAAAAACAATATCAGCCATTACTAGCCATGATTTGTTTTTGACAGTTTCAATGGATAATGTGGGATCTGACACCTTGAAGCTCATCTCAATTTGCTTTCCTTTGCCTGTGTATAAGTAATCAGTATACATCAAAAGACCTTTATAAGTATTGAAAACCTGTCTGGATCTAGAGAAAACAAAGAGATAAAGGATATTTTGTTACATTCTCCTTAACTTGGTTATTGTAGCAGGCTGCAAAGCCCCTGGTGCTGATGAATGACTATTATTCCCTCTGCACACCTGGTGCTCCCAACCCAGATGCAGTAGGTATTGTTCAGCCTACACCAATTACAGCTGGGCTATATGAGCTCATTTAGACCATCAATAGCTCATCGGCCAGGCTGACTCAATCATCATCTCGCAATCAGGGATTGTACCACAGGCTCTCTAGGCTACATGAAGATGCCAGAACATGTGACAGTGGGTCAAAGTGACAACAGTGTTCTTGAAAGAGATAGTGTGACATTTTGGAAAATGTGCTTCTTTCACTTTGTTTCTGAGAGTTAGATGGGAAGATACCACTCCCATGACTGTCAGTTAAATATAGTCAGTTAGCTTAGCTCAGAATAAAGACTGAAAACAGGGTAAACAGCTAACCTGGCTTTCTCCAAATCACTAACACATCATACCTTGTTTATTACATACAAAAACCTTAATTTTTTAAAGAATGATTGTCTGTTAACAAGATACAGTAAATAATGAAACTGTGCTATTTATGCATTTTGAGCATTCACAAAATCATGCAAGCCAAAGAAAAATATCCAAGATTTAATTGTACATCATGATGAAAACAGATCTGACCCAGAACATATTTCTTTTGTGTCAATGCACTCGCTGACTGATTTGGTGATAAGGCACAGGATGTATGCCTTAGCTTTCAAAGTGCTTTAAAATCACCAATCTCCCAATCTAATAAAGATTGTACTGCGGTCCTCTTCAGTCTACCTGTGCTTACCAGCCATGTACAACCTCTCCAGGATACTAAATGGTCACATGAATGGTTGTTGTTATGCACTGGGTCATGAGATTGGTTCATTCATGGTCTAAGTAACACACAAACCTGACCCAGACAGTTTTTCTCCCTCCTGCTCTTTAGTCCCTCTGCTCCACCTTTACAACTGAGCTGTTAGAATAAAAGTTAAGGCTGTGCTGCGACCTCCTGGCTCCAGTTGACATGTGTGTTATGCTTCAGGCGGAGAGGACTCAGGTGTGCCTCTCTGAATCCACTTGTCCGGGACACACAGAGGTCTGACCCTGCAGAAAACATTGGAATTGGATGATTGCATGTGACAGTTCCTATTTTAACTTCAAAAATGTTAAGATGCATTTGTTCTTATTTGTGTTAATGTCTTTATTGTCCATTATGTCCTGTGTTTCAGGATGAAGTCAATCAGATCATGGAGACCAATCTGTGGCTGAGACATGTAAGTTTATGGTGCATGACTGCAAATCGACCTCGAGCAAGGACATCAAGTATGGATCCAGCCTTCTGTCATACATGATTATTCTGAGCTAGTCTGACAGGTTAAATTATTCATGGGAGGGAGCTTTTTAAATACATTGATCCATGTAGTCTTATCTTTTCTTTTTTTTCAAATACTATAAACCAAAGGCACTGAGATTTCATGATCAGTGTTTTTGAAATAATTTGACAGTATTCTGGAATTTATTATACTTGCCATAATATTCGATAATAGTTATAATATTACTTTTGACACTGTGACAGAAACCTTAGCTTCAGCAGTGAGCTGAACCTGATTTAACCCCATGTGTATGTCATAATCACACAGAACAAGTCTACGACAAAAATAAAATTGCTGTATGGCTTGATGGTTTTATCATTTCTTTAGTCCCACATGGTGCCTCTGTTTAGATGCATAGTGCAGTGAACCAGTTTTGAATGAAACACAGCAGGGCAGTGTTGCAGCTCCCATATCACAAGAGCTGAGCGAATACTCATCTGTGCTGGAGCCATGTTCATGCTAAGGGGTTGACCTGTAATTGCTCTTTGGTTGATTGCGAGGTGAAGTACCGTTTCACATATTTCAAAGTCATCTGTTGTTTTAGAGTCTTTGTAATGTATGTACAAAGATACATTTCCCCCACTGTCCACCCTCATCTTATAATATACTCTAGATTCTTACTAATTCTTAATTGAGTGGGATTTTTACAGCACTCTGAGGTTGCTTTACTGTTGTTACTTTATGAGTCTGATGAGGATCACCTGCTGCTGTCCTCATGAGAGGGGTCAAAAACAGTCACAAAAAGGTCCATAAAACACACAGGTGCATCTCATCTCTGATGATGATGACTTCTCATTGTTTTTAGGGACATCTTACAAGAGAGTGTGTGTAAAATCAGTCAGAGCAGATGTGTATAGTAAAAGGTAATCTAAGAGGAAACAACTGCTGCTTTCTTTTATTGTATACTTTTATATTATGCTGTTCTGTAGCTGTATAAAGCGGTTTTTCTTTTGAGCAAAATTATGCTTGAAAAGGCACCATCACTTGCTTTTATGTTTGTTGGGAAGAGACATGTTGCTCAGTATGTCAGGAGATAGAAAAAGGCTTACCATCAGCAACTATTGGATGGATTATTATGAAATTTGGTGCACTCATTGACCTTACATTAAGTTTTGCAATCCCTTGACTTTTGCCTTCATCAGGTCAATTTTTTAATTTGTCTAGTACTTAGATTTATGATTGAATACTTGCAAAACTTACTACGTCAATCAGCTGTACTTTGCCTTTATTGCCAATACAAGCATGCTAACGTACTAAACTAAGGTGAAAATTTTGGGATTGTCAACTTCATGGGGCGCCTCAGTGGCTCACCTGGTAGAGCGCCTACCACATGGGCTTGGTCCTAACCACAGTGGCCATGGGTTACAATCCCACCTGCAGCCCTTTGCTGCATGTCATCCCCTCTCTCTCTCCATGACTTTCTTTCATTGTACTGTCACAATAAAGGCAAAAATATAACTTTAAAAAAAGAATTATAAACTTCATGTGTGACCTTAACTCAATTCAAATTTCCAATTTTATCATGTTTACAGAGGACAGGAACTTGTTCATTTTCAGTTTTACCAATTCCAGATATTGATATTCCTCTAAACTTGTTAGCTCAAAGTTTTGTCTGACATTTTAATTTCTTTGACTTTTTAATGTAGCTTAATTATTCTGTTTTGTTTTGCAGGTCTGGAACGATTACAAACTGAGATGGAACCCAAAAGATTTTGGAGGCGTTGAGTTTATCCGAGTGCCGTCCAACAGGATATGGAAGCCAGACATTGTTCTGTACAACAAGTGAGCATAACATCAAAAAAAAATCTGGCTCAACATTTTTATTGATTGTTAGGTACATTTACAATAAAGGATCACAATGACAAACTGCATTAGTTCGCATGGGTCATTTTCTATTTTGCATAGTATTAAGGGAGAGTATAATTAACATCAGAGGGTGCAATTTACTGAAACCACAAAGAATCTTTTTGATTAATATCTCCATGACACAATAGTCAATTGTTTATACCCCTCAATTTAATCTCCAATGACTCATCTGTCTGTGACTCTCTTTCGACTTCAACCTTCACTTTGTCTTTCTCCTTTGTTCTCTCTCTTTTTCTCTCTACAGTGCAGTTGGAGATTTCCAGGTTGATGACAAAACAAAGGCCCTGCTTCGTTATAATGGTGACGTTACCTGGATCCCTCCGGCCATATTCAAGAGCTCCTGCAAGATTGACGTCACTTACTTCCCTTTCGACTACCAAAATTGCACCATGAAGTTCGGCTCCTGGACGTACGACAAGGCAAAGATTGATCTGGTGCTGATTGGTTCCACAATCAACCTGAAGGACTTCTGGGAGAGCGGCGAGTGGGTGATAATTGACGCCCCTGGTTACAAACACGACATTAAGTACAACTGCTGCGAGGAAATCTACACAGATATCACTTACTCTTTGTACATCCGCCGTCTGCCTCTTTTCTACACTGTCAATATGATCATCCCCTGCCTGCTCATCTCCTTCCTCACCGTGCTCGTCTTCTACCTGCCGTCTGATTGTGGTGAGAAGGTCACTCTGTGTATCTCTGTCCTGCTCTCTTTAACTGTCTTCCTGCTGGTTATAACTGAGACAATCCCCTCCACTTCACTAGTCATTCCCCTGATTGGTGAGTACCTCCTCTTCACCATGATCTTTGTCACCCTCTCTATTGTCATCACCGTTTTTGTGTTAAACGTCCACTACCGCACACCAAAGACACACACCATGCCCTGCTGGGTGCGGAGTGTCTTCCTGGGACTGCTGCCCCGTGTGATGTTCATGACCAGGCCAGAGAGGGACCCTGAGAACGTGGCAGGTAATGTGCACACGATTCATTCGAGACCCTGTGCCATTCATTCATCAGGCACTTTTCAGAGGCAGCACAAACCTCAGGCCCTGGCCTCCAGCGTGGTAACCAGCCTGACGAATCGCCAGCGTCTTTTCAACAACACTGAGCTCTCCAACCTCAATAACTTGAGTGTAGACCCAGGCAAAGGAGGAGGTACTGGGCTCTTGTGCTGCGAAGGCCGCTGCAACTGCTGCTGGCACCAGAGGTCCAGCAAACTGCCTGCAGACTCTGGGGGAGGGAGTGGAGGACTGGGTTGCGTCGGGGCGCTGACTGGAGGCAGTGCTGCTGGGGTGGGAGGAGGGAGTCAGTGCTCCAGCTCCGAGTCTCTGGATGGAGGAATAATGTCCCTGCTGCCGCTCTCTCCTGAGGTCAGGGAGGCTATTGAGAGTGTCAAATACATAGCAGAGAACATGAGACTACAGAATGAAGCAAAAGAGGTGAGTACAAGAAATCATAACAGCAAACGTATGACTTTTACTGGAAATTAGCTTTCAAGAACTATAACAATGTTACCATATCCCTGAAAATGATTTCCCTGTTATCCTCTCACAGGTTCAGGATGACTGGAAGTACGTTGCCATGGTAATCGACAGGATCTTCCTATGGGTTTTTGTCCTCGTGTGTATCCTGGGAACAGCTGGCCTCTTCCTCCAGCCTCTATTACTCGGGGAAGACATTTGAATCTGTTTGATAAAACTTAATACTCCAGACTGTTGAGCTGCACAGCATTTGTTTCATATAAGATTCTGCCTATGGCTCAGAGAGGGAAAATACAGAGTGGATCCAAAATGAAGAAGAAAAGATCACTGTGTCTGCCAAAAGCTGATGTAAAAGGGTTCAGTTTCTGTTTATTTTTCATAGACAGATTTTTTTTTTGTTTGACAAAAAAGGACTGTCAAATGCTGAGGACCTGGGTAACAAACAAAGGCAACCATAGTGACGATCAAATCATTTCATTGTGTAAAAATAAAATTTGAAGTAAATGGCAATGCAATATGTATTGCAACACCCAAAAACTTGGATTGCCCTAAACAAAGACACTAGCTTACTATTGATGTAAATAATATCTGCACAGTAAATAATTGGTACAGTGTAATGTTAATGTAACATCAACATATATTCCTGAACACACTCATTATGCTCCCAGAGAGCTCAGTATCTGATTGTCATGTTTCCATGACGGAAATTTTCTTCTTTAGAAATCGCCTTCTTTAGAGTTGTATAGAACATATCGAATGACATACCCAAAATAAAAATGTGTTTACAGGGATAACAAACTGCTTAACATTTAACATGAATTTCCATGTCTGTGGGAACCAAGCAAGGACATTGACTGTGTTCAAACAGTGACATCTGGTGGTAATTATTTGAAACTACAATTAGAAACTACAAAAAGTTTCTGGCTGTTTTAAAGGGATATATTACCTGTTTTGTCATAACAGCTATCGTGAAAAAATGCATTCCCAGTTGTAAAATTACGTGAAAAGTTATACTGCCTAAAAAGCTCAAATGCAAGAGAGAGTGTGGTGACTCATCTAGAATTTAGTCAATTGTGAATATATTTACGTATGCCCTGAAACTATTTGATGTGTAAAGAGACATTTTAAAAAGTAAATGTAAATAATTTAGGCCTGTTTTATCCACATACTTCTGTAAATAAATGGAAAATAGTTAAAGATAGATGATAGATAAATATGAGATGGTGGTTTCTTTGAGATACTAAATATTTCTGAGACTGGAAACAAAAGCTCATTTCAAAGAGACCACCAAGGCCCTGTTCATTACTCTGTTTCACATTCTCCAAGCCCCCTTGGAGCTAACTCAGCTTATTGGATCACAATCAATACAGAAAGCAAGTGATGAAGGAGCTTATTGGCTTCCTGGCCAAAATACAATTTTCCACTCTTAACACAAAGGATGTGCAGCATGTCTTAACAGCTCAGTGCACATACAGTACCACAACTCCTAAAAATGAATATATGATGCCATTGAAAAACACTGAATTCCTGCACTTCTGACGTTTGACATAAACTTTGTGCCTGACTGTACTGAAAGAGTCTAAGCACCCTGCACGGGGTCTGTTCGTCAGTATGTCACTGTGCGATTCTTATTATATGACAAAAAATCAGAGCAGATGGTTAGCTATGTGATTACAAGGAAATGCAGCCCATGTTAATTGAATGCTGGCAGGGAGGCACAGACAGATACTGTAGTAGCTCTCTGTCACATCTGATAAGAAACCCCTGGCTAATGAATTTAATTAAAGCTCACTCAGAACTTGTGGCTGATCTGCAGGGGATCTCCCAAACAGATAACTATAATAAGTGTGAAATAAAAGAGCTTCTAAAAGCATCCATGAATATTTTCTGAAGGTAACACCCTGCAAAAACTACGGACTACAAAGATGAGAAAAAGGAACAAAAATAAAAAGGATGTTAAGGGAAGCTAATGTTCAGTACTGCATATTTAAAAGTAACTGTTTTAAGAATACAGAGAGAATACTATCTAGCAACTTTCATTTTCAATCGTTTTTAAATATCACAAGCCACCACAGACTGCACAGGAAGTGGTTAATTATAATTTCTGCACATGCACTCTTTCATCTCTCTGTAGGTGAAGACAAGAACCTGGAGAGGTGCCTGTGCAGGGTTTCACAAAATATGTTGTGGAGGCTTTCTATGTGTGTCACATTACTTATCCTCATGAGTACATCACCATTCTTCTGTGTGAGAATTGACAAAAATTCACATTTAACCGCTTAAATGTTTGTATTTATAATTGAGTGAACTTTTGCACGCAAATGGAAGGGAACAGGATTTCTTTTTCTTTTTTTTTCTTTTTTTTCTTCAAGGTGCCCTTGCAAAGCAGGTTGTAAGCCAAACTAAGGGTGAGCTTTAATTGATGAGAAGATGATTGTTTTTCCTTGTATCATTTATCAGTCCAATGTTTGTCTTTGTTTCAATAAATGAATTTTGCAGATATTTTTCCCCAACAGAGTATGACTGAGAACAGTGACCTTCATTTAATGTGCAGCACATATGGATTCAAGAAACACTCCGTGGTTTATGTTTATTTATGTAACGGTGGCCTTGGAATCAGTAAAATAGTGCAGGAGCAAGATCGAAATAATACCACCTTCACTACAGTCGCCATCACATTGGAAATTACAGCTGTGGTTACTCCAAAATAGAGTTGGCACCTTCTGAAGCAGCTATGAGAGGACACAACATCATCCAGATTCTGGTTATTGGTGAGTATTTTCATTACTATGAAAGCATCATGTCAGTGTTATTTCTTCCTACTCATTTTCTCTTTCTGCCATGCAGTCAATTTTCTGCCTGCAGATATTTCAGTAGCTGGGCCGTCCAACATCAGCGAGGGAGACGATGTTGAATTCAGATGTCCTGTCTCTGACACCCTGCAAATACGTGCTCCAGTCTTACCTGAGGAAGAATGAAACCATCCTCAAAGTGTAAGCGTTTAATGTCTCACGGACGGAGATGACTTTCACCACTGAGGATGCCATCATGAGGGATTTGAGGTCATTGCAGCTGTGTGGTGCTGCCGTCCAAGAGCATGGAAACAATTCAATATAGTTCATGGTCAGAGGTGAGGATGTCAACACCTCAAAATGCAATACGGGGTTGGGTGATTAGAGAGAAATCGAAGGGCAAATCAGAGATCACGAGGTACTATCATTCACTGACAAGCTAAAACAAAGAAGAAAAAAATTGTATTTAGATTGAACTTTTACTCTGTATGATACTGGCGGGTCCCACCAAGCACATTATGAAATTGAACACACACTTTGTGTTTCAGCTGTCAGCAGGCCCAACACAGACATGTTGGTGGAGGAGCAGGAGCAGACAAAGGGAGAGGATCTGGAAGCACAGCACATGCTGAAAATGGAATTACTGTAAAGACATACTCTGGGGAAATTACAATTAAATTACTTATGATGACTTAGAAAGAAAACAATCTGGCTGGGTTCTGTTGTGTATAAAAAAATAGATAAACAAAATAAAACCTCAGAGGATGAACAAATCATTAACATCAAGTTAGAGTCAGCAGTGCTGGGGAAAGAGTGCTTTCAGCAGCAAAACGAATACACGTCTCCCTTGAGAAGGGACCCCCAAATACATGGATGCCCGTGGAATCCAGAGCAATTTATATGGCGTGGAGATGGATACTCGTTCTCATAGCTGAAGCAAAACAAACCTTTTAATGTAAATTGTCATCAAATGACATGCACACAAACAAAGCACTATAAAGACAGAGTGGAGTACAAACTAGAGAGAGTTAGTTGTTTAGATGTGACAGAGACTGTAGGCTTGTAGCTAAGCTAAAAAGGAAGGTAAAGTTATCTGGTATAGCATTTCAAATTATGCATCCAACCAAATAAACACACTGTGCTGGCAAACTTGTGTTTTTAGGTCTTCATAGCTATAAAACCTTTTGCACGTTGTACGGATAAATGACATGATGCAGAGCAAAGACAGAGACAACAAACTGTGGCTACAGTTGCTGCTGCAAAGCTAACATGCAGAGTTGCAGCACACTGCAGCAGACAGTGCTAGTCACAACTCTCCTGCTAATATAGCTAACATCACATTAACAGCATATTCTGGCAAATGATTGCAAATTGTAACTGTGGGATTGACTGTACGATATCTCTGTCTTCGTAATCTCATTTTGTAATGACCAGACACTGTCTAATCAGTAGCTGCCTGCATCCACCATTAACCTAGTGTACCCTTATGAAAGTTCAACCCAAGTCGCTCTCTCTGTGGCACTGACTGTAATGACTGCTTCTGCTTGTGAGATACCAATCAACTGGAGCATCAAATATATTTGTCAGTGCTGCTTTCCTCCTCTTTCTCATTACTGCTGTTCTCCTGAGGGAGATGCATCTGAGGATCAGATGGAAAGAATGAAGCTATTGCTTTGTCACCGTAGGGATTGCTGTCTGGCACAGTGTCTTTTCTGTTGCTACCACTAGGGGAAGCCAAAGTTTTAGACATAATATTCAACTGCAGCACATATACAGTATTGTGGCTTTGGGTGCATGTTAACTGTTCTACTGATGTATGCTGGATGCCGTGTTTTTTCACTATAATTTTTCGTTCTAAACATCTACCATGTATGTACCATTAAATACCAGAGCCTTTCCTTGAGAGGATAAACTATCCTTCACATTCAGTTGGAAAATGTAGTTTCTTATAATGAGTGAATGCAGCATGAGCAGCCTGCATTGAAAACAAATTTCTAATCAGATAGCAATTGTTTTAGTTTCCTTCAGCGCCTGCTGTGTCTGTTAACACTGAATCTAGATTGTGTCACACTGGTTTTCACCCTACCCTTCCTTGGAAGAAGCTGGCTTAATCTCACTCTTACATAACCAACCTTTATCCTCCATGGGGGAAAAAAACGTCCTGTTATTTAGTAAAGGCTCTGATATAGTCATAATGTGCCACACCACAAATTTCATTAAAGAATCTATTTTTGTTTTTTGAGAAAATTTAATGAATTAATGCTGTTGAAGACGTTTTTCACATTAAAAAAGACAATTTAAATGACCTCTCTTTTTAGTTAATTGAGCTAAAATCTAAAACAACATAATGGTATTTTTGGTGGAAAGAGCAGGACAGCCTCTTTTCATTTTTTATTAGTTTGTCTTTTTATGCATTTCTCAAGACGTGCATATCTGAAAAATACAAGAGGAAGAAAAGTAATCACAGCAACAGTAGCAAGAAAAGACAGAACTACATCTACAGAGTGGTAGGAGTACCAGGGCAGTCTGTAGGACTCTGTTCTCAGGTGAGCTGCACCTTTGTGTCTCATGACAAACTCTATCCAGAAGAGGGCGGTGTCCAGCGGCTTCATTGGCTGATCTCTGTGCAGCCTGGAGAGTCTCTGCATGTTCATCCTGTAGGAGGGCTCAGTCAGGACTTCCTCTATAGCCTCAAGAAAGTTGTTGCCTTTGTCTACTGTAGCTAATGTAAGAAGCTTAGCCCCTCCTCTCTCCTTCAGTCGCAGCAGGTTGTCATACTGGTCAAAAAACACAGGTAGACCCACGACTGGGACGCCGTGATAAATAGCTTCTTGAATGCCGTTTGTTCCCCCATGAGCCACAAATAATTTTATTTTAGGATGTCCGAGGAGGTCATTCTGTGGCATCCAGTCCACTAGTAAAGTGTTGTTGCCCAGAGTGGCCGGTCTGTCACCTTTATACCTCCAGATGACTTTCTGAGGTAATTTAGCGAAAGCTGCAGCAATCTCATTTGCCATGTCAGCAGGAAGTTCACTCACAAAAGTTCCCAGAGACATGATGATGACTCCTTGTTCCCCAGAGCTCTGCACAAACTCCTCCAGATCTCCAGGAAGTGGTTCAGAAGGTTTACATTGAAACCCTCCCATATAGACAACATTAGGCATTGTGGGTCGAGGAAACTCAAAAACAAAGTCAGCTCTCATGAGCCACAGGTCTGCTCCTTGTAATAAGTCACTGTATCTGACTTCTGGGCCGAAGAACTCATCGCAAACAGCTTGATACTGGGGGCCAATTAAGAATCCATCCTGAGCTTGCCAGATGACATAGAAAATTAAATTTTTGACTCTCTGTATGAAACTCATTTTGTCTGACAGCCCTGAGCCAGTCATCGGGATATAAGATAATGGAGAAGGCGCGATGGCCAAATGTCCTTCTCCGCTAGTTATCCACCGCACATTATAGACCAGAGGTAGTTTAAGAGCGTGAGCCAACATTATACCTGCACCCCATGCTGGGTCAGTAAGGACCAGGTCATATTTTCTCTCCTTTAAACTATTCATCAAGTCTTTATCCTGAAACATAATAGTAGCCATTTTGCACATTATCCTATGCATGTTAAACATCGCAGTGAACATCTCGACCTGCAAACTCGCAAAGCTCATAGCAGAGCTCTCCCCCCTCTCTATGTCAATGATCTTTTTTAGGATCGGGTTAATAAAGTCATGATTAAAGGCTTCAGTGACAGGAACTGTGATTGTCTTGTAGTGCGGAGAGTCATCCTTGATGTACCAGCTTTTATTGGTTCGTACCACATCGACGGAGTGTCCTCGAGAGTGGAGAGCTTTGACCATGATATCCATGTTCACCCAGTGGCTTCCCTCTAAAGGAACAATCAAAATCTTGCCCCCATGACATATTCTCAATGTAAATAGCACAAAGGGTAAAAGGAGAAGAAATATTTTTGTACTTCCATCGGGTGGCATCTTTAACCTGAAAGAAGAATAGATAAACTCAGAACATTACTCAAGGTGTGTCTGAGCGACAACACTTGCCCTAAATGCCATAAAAGTACATTTCAACAACGTCTTTTTTACATTCCGGTTTTCTTTGAGAAAGGAGAATTTAATTACATGCAAGAATGAGCCGTAACATACCTGTTTCACATAAAGCAGCCCGGAGCATGCATACACTTATTCCTTAGATGTCGGTGTGAAACTAGGGAGCAGAGAATGCATAAGTACAAATTTCAGGAAAGCTTTCATAAGTGGATTATCATTAAGCTTTTCTTTGGGCCTTTCTAAAGGACTGAAAAACAATGTGACCTCTTTATTGAAGCTGTGGGCAGATTAGTGTTACAGCTGCTTATTTGTAGTGCTCACTGTGTGAATTCGGCTGTGAATTCTTCTCTTTAATTGTATGCAGCATGCATTCTCACTCTGCTGAAAGGAGGATTTTCAAAGGTATGCTCAAAATCTCTAATAAGATCCTGTGATCCTTTGGAACAGACCTAAGAAAGAGAAGAGGCTGACTTACTGTCATTGTTACATAACCAACCTTTAGCCTGCATGGGAAAAAAAAAAGGCTCTGATATGCAACCCCGTCACAATCCCCCTGCCGCACCTTAAATTTCATTAGAGAATGTATTTTTTTTGTTTTGTTTTGTTTTGTTGTGAGAAAATTAAATGAATTGATCCTGTTGAAAACAGGTTTGAATGAAAACTAAAATATGGCAATTTAAATAAACTCTCTTTTTAGTTAATTGAGCTATAATTTTAAACGTGATGATTTTTAGTAGAAAGAGGAGGGCAGAGTCTACTAAAAAAGTTTGTCTTCTCATGCATTTCTCATGATTTACATATCTGAAAATACAAGAGGAAGAAGTGTGATCACTGCAACAGTAGCCATAAAAGACAGAACTACATCTACAGTGACAGCCCTGGAATACCAGGACACTATGTAGGACTCTGTTCTTTGTGAGCTGCACCTTTGTGTCTCATAACAAAATCAATCCAGAAGAAGAAAAACTATTACAACAAAATTCCATTGCCAACCTTACCATTGCAGTGAAAGAAGTCGAAGACAGGTATTTGTTAAGAAACATGATTTACTGGCTTAAAATCCAGAGATTTTCCAAAGTCCTCACCAACAGTGGCACTGGACATGCAGACAATTAATTTGAACTTTGAATTTAAAGTCTGGGTGTTTTCTGCCCTTACCTCAAGCCTTTTAAAAATATTATATTTACCATCAAAATGTACTTGAACAGTACAGTATAGTGTATATAGTGTACTTTAATGTAACCTTAATAGCTTTAACAATTATTAACTTTATGTAGGCTAATTGTTTTGAAAGGTTTTTATGAGCACAAGAGCTGTACAACTTTCAAAGAATGTGTAGGGTAATCCTTAAGAAAATTGAATTTATCCACCCTTACAATACAGCACATTGTAGAAAGATTCAGAAGGTTTTGTGAAGCTCTACCCAACCCATTGAGGGATCTCCACTCTGATGCCATCATGTACAGTAAGTGATGAATGTACTGAAATTTACGGTATTATGTGGACAAAAATACATATGATAAGGCTGAAATTTGAATTTTCTTATCGTGTATCATGTAGTACATTTGAGTCTTTTCATTTTCACTCACCATGTATTACCGTACCCAGATTTACAATGAAAAATATTAGCACTATGAAACATTTGCCAAAATACCTTGCAAATCAGTAAGTACCTGCATCACTTGTGGTGCTATGATATGCAGCTCCTCTCTTCAATAAATTAAGCAGCATAGGATTCATTTATTTACTCATTTATCCAGATGTGCATCGCAGGTTTTGTTTTTCCTTTTCCCCGGTGCTCGTCCCACTCTCCAGCTTTAAGCCATCATTCCTAAATTCAACAATAAAATGCCTTTGTTACACTGCTCAATCGGCTCTGAGTCCTTCCAAATACAAAGCTTAATTCAAAAGGTAACACTTTTATTATTTACATTGGGGAGAAACAATAAAACGTAGGAGACAGGTGGAGACAAGAAAGGAAAAACTCAATAGGGCTGCAATGAAGGAATTGAAAAAAGGATCCTGTCCTGTCCTGAAGAATCTGTCCTATTAGCACAGACCAAGTACCTTTTAGGTCCATTCTCCCTGTATACTACTGTCTTGCTCATCTTTATCTAGGTTAAACAAAAAAGATTTTTTTTTTAAAAATGCCTTACATTCTTTGCATGCGCTTCTTTTTGTTTATCATTTTCATTCACAGTCTCTGTATTTAGGCTAGTCTAGTATATCTAGAAGTGGAATGTCACAGATTTCATCAGTAGACTGGCCACCATGTCCATGCTGGTGGTGCCTTTGTTGCTTTTTCAGCTGTAATGGTTAGACACACCCATGGAGAGGCAGTGCAGGGTCAAACCAAAGGCTGACAGCTGCTCAGCTGCAGAACACAAGAGTCTTTCTTCTTCTTGAAGGACAGTGTTAATGTGACACTAAGGCCCTATATTACATGTCTCTAAATTACATCATCTGAGGCATCTGCATGCAACATCGATCAAATAACAAGACAGATGTGGAGATGTTATGAGACCTATTCTTTTTTGTGCTAAAGCTCAGTAGACCAAAAACATCCTGGACCCACAGTATCTCTCTACTGATGTGTTACCAAGGATACTCACACATTCATCCAAGAATGCAGGATTAGTCCTCAAACTGAAAAGAAGGGAAATGCATGTTCCAACAAGTCCCCCCTCTCTTTCCCACACACAGTTGTGTGTTGATTTGTGAAAAAAGAATTACAGAAAAGAAAAGTCAAACCATCTCTTTTACATGGCAGTTTGAGTAGTAAAATGTAAAATGAGAATGAACTACCTCTCCTATCTATTGTGTGTGTGTCTGTTGATCTGGGTGGTGAGCTGTGTTGTAATTGCCTTTCCAGGGATCCATAAATTATTGAAATTAAATGAATTCAATTCATCAACATGTTCTGTGACCTGAATAAACATAAAATCTACAGGGCTATTAGCGAGACATTTATCCCAAATGATCCTGCGAGGACATGCTCTTGCTATTTTACTACTAGCCCCAATGATAAACCTCTACTCTATGATGCCAGCATGTATAGTAGGTGAAATGAATGTACTGGAATGTATCGATGTGTGAGATGCAGAGAAAATGAATGAAAAAATGAATGATGAATTCATTTTTGAAGTTTCTTAAATGTAGTACATCAATTTTAATTTAACTTTAAATTAAATTGAATACAGAATTCAGAATCTCTTGAAAAATGAAATATGAAATAATGAAATATAAAATAAAACAAACATGCCTCTGTGAGCAAGTTAGGCCTCAAATCTGCAGCTTGAGCTTCTGGCACAGCTATAGTTTACAGAGGGACTGGGGAGAGCCGGCCCATATCTCACTGGTAATCTCAGTCTCTCAAAGAAGACCCATAGTGAGCTATTAATGTGCTTTAACTCCATTTTCTTATTGTTCTTAGAGGAAACTTCCAGCATGGTTAGGGACGATGATGTTGGCCCACTTGTAAATTACTGGAATAAAGAGAAGAGCAGAGCCTAGGATCGACACCAGGAGGAAGGCCCACAGAAACATTCGGTCCAGAACCTGGGCTACAAACTTCCAGTCTTGTACCACCTGGGCCGAAAAGAAGCACATGTCAGTCTCTAGGCATACATCTACTACATCTAGACATGAGTAACAGACAGTGTGGGGTCAAAAATGATTGTTTGTATCACTATTAAGCATTTTTATTATTACCTATGGATGCGCAAATACAGAAAATCCAACAAACTCACCTCTCTGACCTCATTTTCTTTAACCACATGCATGGTTATGTAGCGAATAGAATCCAAAGCTGCTTGTAAATGACGTCTTGTGTAGAGTAAGGGGGTGAGTTCAGGTGCCGGGTCCTTCATCATACCCAGTCCCACCGCTCCTCCCGTCCTGGCTACTCCAGCTGTGGCGTAACGGTCCACATGGCTGCGCATGCACAGCAGCTTAGGCAGTCGATGCAGGAAGATCTTCCTCACCCAGGGTGCCATGCCATGATGCGTAGAAGAGGAGCGATGGTGGATGTTGATGGCAAAGACGGTGATAATGATGGAGAGCGTGACAAAGATCATGGTGAAGACCAGGTACTCCCCGATGAGAGGGATAGCCTTCGAGGAGGACGGGATGATCTCCTCGATGACCAGGAGGAAAACGGTGAGCGACACCAACACTGAGGTGCAGAGAGAGATCTTCTCGCCGCCGTTGGAGGGCAGGTAGAAGACAAGGATGGTGAGGAAGGACAGGCCAATGCAGGGGATGATGAGGAAGAGGGTGTAGAAAAGAGGCAACCTGCGGATGATGAAGAAGTAGGTGATGGTGGGGTAGGTAGAGCTGCTGTCTGTCCTCAGACCACGGCTGCCTGTGGCCTTTACTATCTCCCATTCACCGTTGTCAAAATAGTCCTGCTTGTCCACGTGGAAGTCCTCTAGAATGATGTCCACCTGTTAAATAAGAAGGGCAATGTCATGTCAGTCACTGGTGATAACTGACATGATTGTACTACACACATGCTGTGGAGGAGAAACTCGCCTGGGAGCCATCATACGTCCAGGAACCAAACTTCATGGAACAGTTCTGGAGGTCAAATGGGAAGAAGGTGACGTCGATGGTGCAGGCTGACTTGTAATTGGCTGGTGGTGTCCATGTTATGGTTCCATCATACTTAACAACAGCTTTGGTGACAGTTCCTTCAAAACGCCCATCTGAACTGTTGAAAGAAACAACATTTATTCATTTAAAAGATCTAAAAGAGGGTTTTGGTCAAAATTTTAGCTGAAAGATAGATTAGCTTCTTTTCTAGTCATTTTAAGACATTTCATGCTAGGGCTGCATGTTTCCTTTAAAGTGATAGTTCAAGTTGTTGCGTACACTTCAAACTGATATTGGCTTTTTTCAGTGGCCATTTCTTAAAAAAAGTGACTAAAACGCAGCTGGCCCCATCCACAGCAGTACACCGCTCAGCTTTTGTGCCAGTACTCATGTCAAGTACTCTGGCAGGTAATACTCTGACTATGTACAAGTACCTCTCACACCCCCTTGTCAAATACCCCAAACTATCCCTTTAAGGTTAACATGATTAACATGCAAAGTACTAGGTGGTGAAGTCCCATTCTTGGATACATATCAGTATGGTCATGTCATATAGTATAGAATTTGGAAAATATAAAATGTGTGACATCCATGTAATTTCCTTCTCATATATAACGGCACATACTTGTCATACAGTACAACATCAGGAAGCCAGAGCCTGTCAGACGGGACTCGGATAGTTGTGATGCCCAGATAGTCATCAGGGTCCCATCTGAGTTTCATGTCAGTCCATTCCTACATACAGGAGAAATGGGAAAACTCAACAAAAAACCTACGCATAGGGGCTTTAAAGGAAAGTTTGACACTTTGGTAAATAGACTCACTTGGTCTCTTAAGAGTTAGATGAGAAGGCTGATAATACTTTCATGTCTGAACACCAAAAATAAAACTACCACTTGCAACCAGCTAACTTAGCTTTGTACAAATACTGTAAACAGAGGAAAACAGCTAGCCTGGCTCTTTGGTAACAAAATCTGCCTACCAGTACTTTTAATAGCAGTACCTTATATTATATCCATCTTATTTGGCTTAGGCGTGACATAAGTGATGAGTACTTTGTCATAGAATAATGCGGAGAGTGAAACAGTTCATAAAAAAAAAAAAAAATTCAAAAGGAAATGGAGATGAAAGAGATATTTTTCTTTTCTTCTATTCTTTATTCCACTTTGCCTATGACGTCTGTGGCCACTGCCCTTCCATCACCCTTTTCGCATGATGCAATCCATCACTGTGAAAGGGAGCAGCTGACCTGAGTGGCAGAGCCTGGTCTGTGGGGATAATTCATAAGATGCGTGACAGACAGCACACCAAAGACCATGAATAAAGCTGACAGGAGCCGGAGTGAGGAGGAGACGACTTGTTGAGGCAGGTGCGTGGGCACAAGGCTGGAAGGACTCATAGATAAGAACTGCCACTAAAATGCCACCAGACCGGATTAAAGAGGGGTGAGGAGAGGCTGACTGGTTGTCTCCAAATGCCATGTAAGCCAGGAGTACTTCCACCGGCCTACAATTATGCCCCAACAACGTTACCTGCATGTTTACTGATGACGGTGAAATGCCCTTGAGGACTTACCTGTTTCATCCACACATTGGTTGTCATGAGCTGGTTTTTCTCATCCTAGAATGGTAAAGCAATAAGCAAAGCACATTTTTTATAGAGCAACGATTTTAATAGCATTCCATCTCTCAGCTCTCTTATGTTTTACATTCATGCAGGTAACACCTCAGTAACACACATCCATAAACAATGTGAATAATCAGTGCTTTTCTATCCTCACCACATCGACTAACTGGGAGATGGCCAGTCCAAACTTCACACAGATGGTCTGGTTCAGGTATTCCACTGGACGAACCCATTTCTGGTAGTTTCCAAAGAGGTATTTGAACAGCTTGTCCTCTGCTTTTGCATAAGATGAGAGCTTTGGGACCCCTAAAAGGTTTGAAAAGACAAGACAGATGAGGAGCAAAATTACAAGTTCCTATTAACTTGTAACTAATACAACAGAAGCTTTGATTTATTCAGTAGTCTCAGACTAAACGGCTGATAATAACTCCATTTCCAGCTCTGTTTCTAGCGTTGCCCTCAAACAGTACATCATTCACCTCTCTGACCTTACTACAGTGTTTATGTCTCAAGTTTCTGGATGTGACCTCTGTGGTAAAGCTTTAGTTTCAAGAAGCAGAGAAATCAAAGCTATAACCGAAACACACACTTGAATACATAATCAAGTTAAGAATCCTGATCTGATATCAGCAATAGCAGGTGAACATTATTATTCAGTTATTCAGTTATTTTCTTTCATGGAGCCATTATCAAAAAATAAAGGATTGTATTGAATGAAGCAGTAGTGATTGGAGAATGTTCAGTGTTTGGTTTGTTTCTATATCATATATCATTTGGCAAATAGCACCAACATATAAATCTTTTTTTGTACTCTGTCCAGCTTGACCTACACAATATATACTGTAGAGTCTCTCCAGTTTCATCACTTATTTCCAGAGGACAGCTGCAAACAGTAGTTCTAAAGAAAAGCACTTCGGAAACAATGTATTGTACAGAGGTGTGTTGAGGAATTGTGTACCAACAAAGACATATGATTGTAGAAAGCATTGCACAGATGTGGACCACATCTTATTTACTGATGCCCTTCCTTCTCTCACCATGGCAAGAAACTGATACACTTGTTTACCTGTCTTGCACCATGACTCATATGGCTGGTGTTTGTTAATAATGCAGACAAACTCAACTGAAGGTGCATGATTTTTTTATTAAAACATCACTGCTTACCAATGGATTTCGGAATAATAAGTGTAAAAAATGTAATGAAATAGTCAGGTCAGTTCCAAACATGACTTCACCTTTGGACTAATGGTGGTGATAGAGAAACTGATATTCTTTAATATTTCTTGACATCACATGTAACAATGCGTTGTTTTTCATTCAACATTGCCAGTTCAACACTAATTAGGATTAACTGTTCACGTAGACTGAAAAAAGAAAAAAACATGTGGTGCCAACTCACATTAAGTGTTTGACCACTATTTCTTTCTAATCAAACTTGAGCTTCATATGTACATTTTTGAAAAAATTGGAAATAAACTGTATTTATTTATTGAGAGCATAGCATATGGTGGCTGCCTGTATCCCTGTCAAACTGCAGCATTGTTTTGCTGAAGCAGGGCTCCACTACAGAGTAGAAATTATTGATTACATTTTGAATAACGTGCAATTTCTTTCATCCTGCTCTTTAAATCATTCACCAATGCGGTTATAAACTAAATTTATGGATGGAGAATGTGGCTGGAAATCTACCACAAGACTGACCACAAATGTATGGTGTCACCATTTCAGTGTGCGTGAATCAATAAAGACAAGGCTGCAACACCCTCAATCAATGACCCTGTAATCAGCAAATTCATCATCTCTTCAGTGTGTCTCCCGCGCTATCACCAGTGTCCTGCTTGGCTGAGAAGCAAGCTGCAGAGTCTGCTCGATTCTACATTAATCTGTTTCAGAGTATGATAAATGTAATCATTGAGTCAGAAGCATACTAAACCACTAAGATTATATACAGTATGTGCTACAGGGAAAAGGAATGTTCATTTATAATAGCTGTTAAAATGATGCTGAGTAAAATTCATATTTGATGTTAACTTATTCCTGCATTTTCAAGGAGACCTTGGTCAGTGCTTGCTGCTGTCTGCCTGGTGCAGTGGGCAGCATGTCAAAAAGCATATCAGTAATATAATATAAACATAGAATATATAATATGAATATGGTTTGCTACCAGACAGATGATGAGGATTACATTGAGATTAAGCTAAATATGACATGTTGCTACAAGCAGCCAACAGAAAGAGGGAAAGAAAAACCTAAAAAATATACAATAGAGGTCAAAAAATATAAGGTTCATTCACATATAAACATACCGCACATGTTTACGACATACTGTAAGTATGTTGTACAGTAGATACATACATGCATACCAATATATACACACTGTCATGGCGACAGCAACAGCGGCTGCTCTTTTTCCTCCTCTTCAGCTATTTCATACAGTTTATCTCTGTGTCGCACACACTCTACTAACCTTCCCTATTATTCACTGCAACAGCTCATCACCTGACCATATTTGTAGTATGCACACCTGCATGCCTCATGCTGCATTCATCACATATCAGGATTTTTTGTTATTACATGTTCCTGATTTGTCGATAGCATTCACGTCAACACCAAAGTCATAAATAATAAACAGGAAAAGTAAGATTACTCTTAAGGCTTGAGTTTGTGAGTGTCTGAGAACCAAACAAATATGGACACCTCATGTCACCCAAAGTGCTTAAAATTTCCTATCATTCCCATGCATCCAAACTGAGCTGAACATGGCATGAGTTCACTGTTTTCCTGGTTTTCTGCATTAATGAGTTTCAATTATGTATCAAGGAAAAGTCAAATTAATGATGGATAATGAGGATGAGGTCCAACATTTGTCTCCCTGTAAATTTTTCTCATTAAGTTTTATGGCTTTTAGGTTAAATTATAGATGTTAACACTTTATGTGGTCTTCCACTTATTAGCTGTTAGAATTGTTTTGCTTGTTCAATAGCTAGATAGTTTACTTACTTTCTGTGCAAGCCTCAGAGAGTGTCATTCTGACACCAATACTTTTTGTTTAACTTGGCAAGCCATCATCACTCTTCACTGACCATCTGGCAATTTCTACATCTTCCTTTTTGGTTTCTTGGTTACATATCCACTAGAGTCCAACTTATCTCTGGCTATGCCATCTGTCATGCCATTCCACCATGATAATTTGACGAGGCATTCCCAGTCCTTGGGAAACTTACGCAGTGAGTGGCACAGGTGGCAGCAGCACAGCAGCGGCAGCAGCAGCAGCAGTGCGAGAGAGGTTGCTGCCCCTCCTGCTCTCAGCATCATATCAGAGGTGGCACCGGTTCCACACAGCTGGTTCCTCGGGCATCACAGAGCTGGGAAATGAATATTAAAATCAGTGGTTATTAAAAAAAATAGCCTCTGTTTGCACTGGGTAAACATCTGAGCTACGTGAGCGTGGCTTTAATCATGCCTTGGGTTAAGGGTTCAAATCCCAAATCAGCCACCCCTGCTCCCCCTTGGTAAAGCTATATTCAATTATGGATTTCAGTGAATAGGCTTTATAAAGCAAGTAAGCAATCAAACAAAGAAAATAAACAACACATTCTAAATAACAAACTGCCTTAATCACACACCTTTGATATACAGAACAACATCCTGCACAAGCCCAGAATGCACTCTACTCTCACTCTGCTAACCCAACCCTCTCCAAGGTAATAAACACATTTCACATAGTAAAGCATGCAAATGCTGTACACATACCTGCTCTGAGTCTCTCCCATTAACACGCAGTCCAGAGCGATGGTGGTGGTGGTGGTGGTGGTGGTGGTGGTGGTGATGGGTACCCTGACGACAGCGACAGTGCTGCTCTAGCGCTCCTCCATTCCATGCAGGTTCTTTCTCTCGCCTCATACAGATGCTGCTTCCCTCCCTACTGCCTCCAATTGTGCACAGGCAACACATCCTCCTCCTCCTCCTCCTCCTCCTCCTTCAGAGAGCCCGCCCCATTTCCCCCAACCACCACCACCTTCCTTCCACCCCCCTCCAAGCATTCTTGTATTCACTATTCACAGACAGGGCTAGTCGCCCCTCTCCATGCAGCCTGAGGTGGCTGCATCTCCACAGCAGCATCAGGAAATGACAGGAGCAGCTCTGCCACTGCTGTTTCCAATTTGTTACCTGGTATCCACAACCACATGTGACGCTGTATTTTGTTCCTCTTATTCCTCACGGTCTCTCTGTATGTGTGAATGTGTATGCTTCCATGGCGACAGCATATTGTGGGACCCAGAGATGATGTAGCCTAGGGGATGGGGGTAAAAAAAATCTATATACAGCTTGAAAAATCAAATTGAACAGTGGTTTCTGAAATAACTGGTTTCTATCATCATCTTATTTTTTCATTTAAATTGTTTAAACACTTAGCAGCTGAAAATCTGGCCTACACATCTCCGTTGGATTCATCAAAAAAAATCATTAAAATCTTTAAGGAATGAAAGATTGTGTTGGGTGAGTAATCAGTAATCAGAGGCCATGAGAGCAAAAAACATTCTTGTTGCTTCAACACGACAAGCTCCCTGTATGGTTAAAACAATGTTCAGTTTCATCTACTGTATATTGCATCCATTGTGAAATGGGTGTGAGTGAATACAATGAAAAATAAATTAGAATTTGCTATTACTGACAGTTGGTGAAGGCTTTTGAGAGGTAAACCAAACTATACAAACAAACCAGTAGAGAGGATGTTTAAATGTTGAATTTAGATGTACTGTACTGAATATGTACAATAAACAGAAACTTAAAAAAACAATAATATATACAAAATATATACAATGACATATCCAAGGAAATTATGCAGCTTTTAAAGTAGACAATTGCTGATATCAAATTTATAATAGAAAAAAAAATCCAACTGACAGATAGAAAATAAAAAGTCAGCACAAAGCACAGGAGCATTTTGCTCTTAAAGCTATGTAAACAATGTCAGGGGCAAAATGATCTGCAGCACAACTTGATCGAACCGTCCACCATCTTTTTCTTTCTGTATGGGTGACTGTGCTTAAAAGATTGTTATTTGAATTATATTTGACTTGGGATCACATTATCTCAGTGGCATAATGACGCTTCATGTGTAAAGCCTACACAAAGTATTCTTCACCACAACTGTAGGGCAGCAATGAGTAGTTTTTTTTTATAATCTTACTTACATCTAAATGGAGGTTAAGAGCAAAGTACATAGGCTGCAGAAGTGGTGAAGAAAAGAAGGATTAACATTCAAATGCAGTCCTGCTGCCAACTCTGGGTCACTGGCAATTTAGGTAGTTCTCAAATTGCAGTGGACCAAAGCCAGAGCAAACTGATATTAGTACAGTTTAAATTACATTTCATGTGTAGTCATTGGTGTAATTCTTTATTCACTGACAAAATGATAGTAAGCAGATATGATCATCTTCTCTGTCATCTTGTGTTTGGTCTAATGAGGTCAGGGTTGTCGTTAAACAAACTGACATGTTGCATAAATGATAATTAATTAATTAATGAAACACTTATTACTGTTAACCATGCACTGTGAAATCGATCTTGCATGTATAAATGAATGATTAACACATTACATTCCAGTGCTTCTAAATATTGATGCACTTTTCAAACAGTAACTTTATCAGTGACCTTTGATCTTCCTTAACAACTTTGTTTGCACACAGATCCAGCTACTACCTATAGAAGCCTATAGGGAACTATATTCAAATGATAATGTAATTCCACAATAGCATTTTAATTTTCCACACATGTATGTGCTATTTGAGCAAAAATGCAAAATACCAATTTGCATTTTCCTTTTCATATACTTGTATGGGAATGTTCTAGGACAATATTTGAATGGAGATGGAAATCTGTTTGACATTTCATTTTCAAAGTCATACCTTGCTGCACAGTCGACAATATTCAAATGTTAATTCAAATTTGAAAATTAAAATGCAGTTAACCCAATCTACAAAGGACAATATTTAAATGCAATTTTCAAAACATCTATTGCATTTTCATTTATATGTCACCATGCTCTTTTGTATGTATGTATGTAATGAAAATGAAAATGAAAATGCAATCGATGTATATTGATGAATATTGCTTGTCTATTTGTAAAATTAGGTTAAATTGTTTATAATAATTTTCAAATTTGAATTTCAAATTTTAATACGGTCCTAGAATGCCCATATAAGTATGTGAAAATGAAAATGCAAATTTTATTTTTTATTTTCTTTTATTTATTGCATTTTCAGTTTTACTCAAATAACAAATATATATGTGGAAAATTAGAAAGTTATTGTGAAATGCATTATCATTTGAATTTAGTCTCCTATAGGCTTCCATACAACTGTTTACTATCCAGGCCTGGACAAGAACGCATCCTGTCATGTGGTTCAGCTCCTTCCCTGCGGGTTGCATTAACTTTTCAGGACAGGCGCTGCACAAAGCACTGTGACTGAGTGGAGTAACATACAGAAGACTACAGTAAGTGAGATTGTGTTTAGAGAGTTTGACTGTAGACATACTAGTGTACTGTATGTGTTGCTGTACTTTTACAAAATAATGATGTTAAACATATGAGCTTTTAATATTGATCGAATCAGAATTTAAAGCAGCAACTGGACACAATAGGCTACACCTCGACTACAGACATCAACTCCTCTAAACACTCCAGCTCTTTTGCTTCAAAGGTGTTGACTTGAGTAAGAGTAATGATTATGAAATTCTCTGATAAACTGGTTTTAAACCTTGAGCTGATGAAAAAAAAAGAAAAGGAAAGGAAGGAAGAAATAACAGCTATAATGAGCCATGCACAGCTTGTAACTGCAAGTTGAAATGATCACAGTTCATTTCCACAGTAGTGAGGAGTTTTCTCCGTGGCTAACCGTTGTTTTCATTTCAGATGAGGCCGCTGTATTGCTGCAGCGCTTTGCTGCTGCTCTTCCTCATCCCCACAGCCTGTCAAGCTGGCAACATCCTGGTCTTCCCTATCGAAGGAAGCCACTGGATAAACATGGATATCTTGCTTCAAGCTCTGCACTCAAGAGGACACGCTATTACTATTCTGCGTTGCAGCAAAAGCTGGTACATTAAGGATAACAATTCTTATTACAACACCATCACAGTTCAGGTGGAGAAGGCCTTCGATCAGAAGTTCATCACAAAAATCATAACTGAGACCATTGAATATGAAAGGGGGTCTCTTCCCTTGATACATTTTCTCCACCTGACTTTTGGAATGTTTGGTACGTTTGTTGAAGCTCATGAAACCGTGGGTGCATTTGTATCAGCAATGCTTGATGACCAAGAGTTGATGAGAAACCTTAAGGACAGCAAGTTTGACCTGGTGCTCACTGACCCCTGCTGGGGAGGTGGAATAATTTTGGCCAAATATCTGAACCTTCCTTTGGTTTTTAATGTTCGCTGGCTGATAGCTGGAGAAGGTCATCTTGCTGTTGCTCCTTCACCTATATCATACATTCCCATAACAGGATCTGGCAACACTGATAAGATGAGCTTTTTTCAAAGAGTTAAAAACATGATTTTGCATCTAATAACCCAGATACAGAAACACCTGGTTGTTAAGCTAATATACCAGAAAATATGTGACAAATATCTTGGGCCTGATAATGACTTTGACCTCTTAATGCTTAATGCAGACATTTGGCTGATGAGAGTGGACTTTGTGTTTGAGTATCCTCGTCCCACCATGCCTAATGTTGTGTACATTGGAGGGTTTCAGTGTAAACCTGCAAAACCTCTGCCTCAACACCTGGAGGAGTTTGTGCAGAGCTCTGGAGAACACGGAGTCATCATCATGTCTCTGGGAACTTTTGTGAGTGAACTTCCTGCTGACATGGCAAATGAGATTGCTGCAGCTTTCGCTAAATTACCTCAGAAAGTCATCTGGAGGTATAAAGGTGACAGACCGGCCACTCTGGGCAACAACACTTTACTAGTGGACTGGATGCCACAGAATGACCTCCTCGGACATCCCAAGATTAAGCTATTTGTGGCTCATGGAGGAACAAACGGAGTCCAAGAAGCTATTTATCACGGCGTCCCAGTTGTGGGTCTACCTTTGTTTTTTGACCAGTACGACAACCTGCTGCGACTGAAGGAGAGAGGAGGGGCTAAGCTTCTAACCGTTAATACAGTTGACAAAGACAACAACTTCCTGAATGCCATAGAGGAAGTCCTGACTGAGCCCTCCTACAGGATGAACATGCAGAGACTCTCCAGGCTGCACAGAGATCAGCCAATGAAGCCGCTGGACACCGCCCTCTTCTGGATAGAGTTTGTCATGAGACACAAAGGTGCAGCTCACCTGAGAACAGAGTCCTACAAACTGCCCTGGTACTCCTACCACTCTGTAGATGTAGTGTTGTTCCTGGCTGGAGTTGCGCTGCTCATGCTTTTAACTCTATTCCTCTTGATGAGGTGTTTATACTCTGCAGTGTGTAAACCTAAAGTGAAACGTGACTAATCATTCAAGGGATAGACATTTTGTGCATTCATCTCATTTAGAAAAAAAAATATCAATAATATCAGTACAAAAATGGATGTTGCAATATTTTGTTATAATTTTGAGATTTAACTGCCCGGTAATGCAGCTTTTTGACAGTTAAACAAAGGTATTGTTTTGTAAAGGCAAGATTTTGTAGTATGTTATTTAATTTGTTTGATATTCATATTGTATGAACTAAACTATGCCGTGACCTTTTTTCATAACAAACACTGAACAACTAAAATTGTAGGAATGAATGTAAGGTTGGAGCCATTTTTAAGTTGTACTTATATGTTGTTGCTCATCATTTATTGTTTCATTTTGTGTGTGTGTGTGTCTGTGTGTGTGTGTGTGTGTGTGTC